CGGCCGCTCCAGCCCGCGCCGCGCATGCGCCTGCCGGCGCGGCCCCTCCCCCTCCCGTCTCCTCCGCGGGGGCCGCGTTAAAGGCGAGGACCCCAGACCCCGGCATTTTTCTGTCGGCCCAGCAAGGCTGGGAAGCTCGGTCTCCACTCCTTCCCCAACCTTCTAGAGCCACCTCTAATAGCACCATCTCCTGTGTGCTCTCCCTCACTCCCCACGTTGCCCAGCCCTGGGTGCTGGGCGCCTGCCCTGTGGTCTGGCCGGGCTCCCAGTCCTTGTGTCTGAAGGCGATTGCACATCAGCTGAGCAGGGCTGCTAGAAACCATTCCCACTCCCCCAACTGAAAGCCCAGAGACCCCGAGCAACCCACAGGCAGCCCATGGCTCCTCAGCCTGCTCTGTGCTCCCTCCCAGCCCCGCCCCCCAGGAATGGGAAGCTCCCAACAACCCGACAGCAGCCTGGCTCACTGTCGGGTCACCCTGACAGTTGGAGCTAGACTGGCTTTTAGGGAGGATCCTGCCTCTTGGTAACCCCCGCCCCAGGCCCAAGGGCCACCCACACAGCCAGGTGTCCTTGTGCCAGGGGCCAGCCCTCAGAAACTGGAAGACAGGCGTTCGCAGGCGGAGTCTTCCTTTCCCCAGATTAAACACCCGCTATTTCTTTGGTTGTTCCACATCTGACATGGTGTCCAAACACCCCATACACGGGCAGTGGGCCCATACACGTGTGCCCTAATCCTCCCAACCCCTGCTAGGCGGGCCTTGCCGTTCTCATGATACATTTAACAGAGACTGAGGCTCTGAGATCCCTCAGCTGCCAGAAGTCAGAACCGGCGGTCTGACCACTCTGTTCTGCCACCCATCACATACCGCCCATCCCTGCTCCCTGGGGGCCCTTCCTAGGCAAAGCCGAACTGGGTAAACGGCTGCTACTGCCAGGGAGTGATGAATGAACACCTAGGCCAAGGTGCCAGGGACCAGGGCAGTGCTGGGGAGGTAACGCAGAGCTGGTTCTCCGAGGCTGGCCGGCAGCAGCTGAGACTCACGGGGGGCCCTGAGGGGCAGAGAACTCCAGGCTCCTAGGAAATCTGTGGGGGCAGGTTCCCAGGAGAATAGACTCTTTTGTCTGCAGAGTGTGATGTGCCAGGAGGCCCAAGGTGATTAAATAGGAGGAAGCAGTGGCAGGTGGGCTTCCCCAGAGACCCAGATCTCAAAATCCCCAAAGCAAGTCATCTTTGGGGGTTGAGGAGGCTTTCCAGCCTTTTTTTCCCAAGAGGTGGAGCTGCCTTGATCTTTCTCCTGAGGGTCCTGGGGAGAATCCTGACAGTGGCCATTGGCAATGAGAGGGGTACTATATGCACAGTAAAAGGGGAAACTGAGGCCCAGGGCCCAATTCTCAGACCAATCAGCTGGGATCCCTCCCTGCTCCAACTCAGCAGAGTTGCCCCCTTTTCCCCTTGAGTGAGCGTTCCCAATTGTGCATCTCAGTTTTCCTAGCCCAGTGCTCGGCAAAGGCATTGTCGAAGGGAGCAGTCAGGGCCACAGGGAGCAGAGGGTGCTCTAGGCTGACAGCTGCCACCTCATCAAAGGGCACTCTGTGTGTATCTGGCAGGCAGCCCTGCCCGTGCCCACCCGCCCGCACCCAGCTGGCACAGGGGCTCCTGAGCTGGGAGCAGCAGCTCAGCCTGAAGCTCGGGCTCTCAGCCACACGTGCCCATCGTCTCGCAGGCTTCCTCGGCCACCCTGGCCCCTCCCACACTGAGCATTCCTCGCCTCCTTCCTGCTCTCCTACTCTGGTTGGACCCTTACTGCCCATTCTGTTTCCTCTCCCCATTTCTAGGTGCCCAAGCCGGAACTGGATGAGCAGTGAGGAAAGATCCCTTCAACGCCCTCTGGGGTACAGGGAAATGGAAATGCGGGGAAGGGGTGCAGCCGGGGCAGGACCTCTAAATCGGCTAGTCCTTGCTTCCAACGGACCCCCAGTGACTGCTGATGGCTGCTCACTCAGGGAGGACATCACTAATTCTTCCCTTAGCACAGGAAGAGGGATCTCTGGCCAGACCCTCACATGTTCCAAGGGATCTCTGGCCAGACCCTCACATGTTCCAAGACCCTCACAGCCAAAGGAGCTCCATTGGGGCACTGTATCCCTCTCCCCTGACACTACTAGGTGTCTGTGAAAGCAGGGATGCTTCTCCCTCACCAACCTGTGCCACCCCCGCCTCTCAGTAGGCAAATGATTCCAGGCAACTCACTCAGTCCTGCAGACAACAGGCTTTGGGGGCCTTGCCACTAGCAGTTGACACCAGAAGCAACAGCTGGGCTGCTTGAGCAGGCACCAGCACCCTAAGAGGGTCCTTGAGGGCTGACCAGGGCCCCAGGGAGACAGGGTTATTGTTTTTCCTGGCACTGGGAGGGAAGGGAACTTGGACATAGCCAGAGTAAATCTGGGCAGAGACAAACTTCATATCCAGCTTTCTGGCCTCTGCCCCCTGCGCCTTGCTATGTCTAGTGGGGCAGAGGCCAGGGAGGTGGCTCCTTCTCCTCCCAATGCCAGGGGGAACCGGGGACCTCTCTGGCAGAGGAGCCGGTGGCCCAAGAGAGGGCAGTGAGCTTTCGAAGGCAACTGCAGGCACTGTGTAATAATCCTGCGTCAGCATGGTGCATCTGTCACCACTGATGAATCAACACTGATCCATCCTTATTAACTAATGTCCACACTCTACGCAGATTGCCTTAGTTGTTCTCTACTGTCCTTTTCCTGCTCCAGGGTCCCATCTAGGATCCCACCCAGGATCCCACATTACATTTAATCATCATGTCTCCTTAGGCGTCTCTGAGCTGTGACTGTTTCTCAGACTTTCCTTGTTTTCGATGACCTTGACAGCTCTGAGTGCTGGTCAGAGATTTTATAGAATGTCCCTCAGTTGGGATTTATCTGATGTTTTTCTCATGGTTATACTGGGGTTATGGGTTTGGGGGAAGAAAACCCCAGAGATAAAATGCTGTTCTTATCACATCATATCAAGGGTACATACTATCAACATGACACATTGCTGTTAATGTTGACCTCGATCACCGGACTGCCATAGTGTTTGTCGGGTTTCTCTACTGCGAAGTGACGCTTTTTCCTCTTCTTTCTGTACTGTACTCGAGAGGAGTGAGGAGCCACGCTCCACGTCCTTGAGGATGTGGTATCTACATAAACTACTTGGAATTCTTCTGTATGGGAAATTTGTCTCTTCTCCAATAATTTATTTATGTATCCAATAATTTATTTATATCAATGTGAATTTATGGATATTTATTTTATTTTACGGTTTGGATTATAATTTCCTATTAGTTTATTTCCTTGTTCAAATTGTTCCTGCTTTGGCTATTGGGAGTTCTTTCAGTTGGCAAATAAGATTTTACAAGAGAATCTAGAAATCCAGATTGTTTTACACAATCTCTGGATTTTGAAAAATCGACTGCTTAAACTGAATGAAATGCTTCCACAGGCCAACCCTTGGCAGCTCTGGGCTCTGGAGTCAGATTACCTGGTTGGAATCTCGCTCTGCTGCTTCCAGATCTTGTGCATGTGAGTTAACCCGCCGGGAGCTCGGTTTTCTTACCTGTGAAATAGGAGGTTAATACTCACTGGGTATTGAGGAGATTCGTTTGAACGACTCAGGTAAAGTTTGGGGCACGGGATCTGTCAGAGAATCTTTAAAGAGTAGGGGCCATCATTGCCACACGCGTGAGCCAGGCATGGCTAAGCAACTCCCTGTGGAGGGCAAGAACTGAGTTTGTTTTGGGAAGGCCTATAAGGACACTTTGGGTTTGGGGGGACCCTGCGAGCTCTGGAGTGAATGAGAATGGGAACTACCTACCCACCCCTGGTTTTCGATGTGAGAGTTTAGCTCTACTATTCTGGAGTAGCACCACATCAACAAGTGGGCGAGAACTCAGAACTAGATGTTCTGTTTTACTCACTCTAAAATGTGAATGACTACCTCTCCCCAGGAAGGCAAGTCAGACTGGCACAGAAAGAGAGGCTGAGCTTAGTAGAGTGGGTGGGGAACCCGTGGTCTGCCAGGCTAGATCTTGGGGTTCAGTCATAGCACCACCTCACATCCTGTGACCTTAAGTGAGTCCAGTTTCCAACATCCTTGAGGGTAATTTCACAGTATGGTCAAGGCTGAGCCCTGGGCACTGGGCCAGGGTCCCTCCTTATCTCTTCCCCATGCACAGAACCTTGGGTGTGCTCTACCGGGGGGGACATCTGGTTAGGGGAGGGGGTAATGTTCAGGTCATCAGGCTACTTGGTACAGAGGGAGACCACCATCCCTCAGACACTGGGGCTTTAGGACCTGGTGGCCGGGGGGGACATCTGGTTAGGGGAGGGGGTAATGTTCAGGTCATCAGGCTACTTGGTACAGAGGGAGACCACCATCCCTCAGACACTGGGGCTTTAGGACCTGGTGGCAGAGGAGAAATGTATTAGTTTCTTATTGCTGCTGTAACAAATTACTACAAACTTAGTGGCTTAAAGCAATACAGATTTATTATCCTACAGTTCTAGAGGTTGGAAGTCCAAAATGGATTGAGAGGGCTGGTTCCTTCCGGAGGTTCTAAGGGAGAATCCCTTTCCTGCCTTTTTCGGCTCCTAGAGGCCACTCACATTCCTTGCCTCATGGGCCTGCGTCCCTCTGACCTCTGTTTCCATCATCACATCTCCTTCTCTGACTCTGGCCCTCTGGACTCCCTCTAATAAGAACCTTGTGATGACAGTGGGCCCACTCAGATAATCCAGGAAAATCTCCCCAGCTCAAGATTCTTAATGTCATCACACCTGCCAAGCATTTTCCTTTGTAAGTTAACCTACCCGTAGATTCCAGAGATTTAGATGTATATAGGGGAGACCCCTGGTTCCTCCAAATCGCTCCCGCATTGGGCGCCCTGGCCTGAACCGCCACCATGGCTGACTTGGGCCAGACAGGAATCCTCTCACTCAGTTCAAGCAGCATCAGTGGCTGTGCATGGGAACAGATACGAATGATGTGTGGCTCTAGTACGCAGTCTGGCAAGACAAAGCAAAAATCCCAAACAGGCCTGGACTCTTGGACTCAGAAATTCCAGGAATTTATCCTAAAACATGCACTCACAAGTAGCCAAAGATATACATGCGAGGACAAAACTTGTAGCTTAATGATCAGCAACACATGGGAACAAGTGACATGTTCAATAACGGGCACCAGTTAAGTGACGGGACATCCGCATGACAGAATCCGGTCCTGGGCAGCGTGCAAATGACATGGAATGTTTACAATATATTGTCAAGTGAGGAAAAAAGAGGCTTCCAAATAATAGGCTCAGATGGATCCTATTTTTATAAAATTCATATATGTATATTTATATCATATATTTGTATCGGGAAAAGTATGGAAAAATAGATACCCAAATACCATCTGTGGTCACCTTGGGGTGGGGGTAGGACTTTTTTCACCACTGTGTCATATTGGGAGAGGGCCTACTGGGTGCTCGGTCCTTGCTGTGCCTGTCAGTGAGCAGGGCTTTTTCCGTCTTCGTGGATTAGAATTGCACAGGATATTTTTTTATAGGAGGAGAGAGGCTTTTGGAGTAACTAAAATTATTTTCTCTCTTTTCCGATGTTCGTTCTCAAATGAACATTCATTTCTTGTGCATTTTTTTACATTAAACCCTTCTTAAAATTGCGGTCAAACATATATAACATGAAATTTATCATGTAAGTGTGCAATTCGGTGGCATAAAACACCTTCACAAAGTTGTGCAACCATCACCCGAACTAGAACTTTTCTCATCCATTTCTAGAACTTTTCTCATCACCCGAAACAGAAAATTTGCCCCCATTAAATAATAACTCCTCTCTCCCCCTCCTCTAGTTCCTTGCAACCACATTCTACTTTCTGTTTCTATGAATTTGCCTATTCTAGGTGCCTCATGTAAGTGTAATCATACAATATTTATCTTTTTATGTCTGGCTTATTGCATTTTGCAAATTGTTTTCAAGTGTGATTTTTTTTTTTTTAAGAATGCTTTTTGAGGGGAAAATGCAACTGTCAAGTTTTAGAAAATGCAAGCCACCCAGGATAGGTTCCCAGGACCCTCTGGAGGCTAGAGCAAGGGTCTTTCCCAGGGGCTGATGCCACATGAGGCTGGGGTGGGGGGGATGCAACTGAACAGTAAGCAGAAAAAGGCCCTGGGTCACACACACCAATCCATGCAACCCTGTCACCCCTGAGCAGGCAGGAGACAGAGAGGAAGGCATTTGCCAGGGGTCCTTGGCATTGGACAGCTGATCTGTACAGAATTGCAGGCTCCCAGCTCAGGAACCTGGCCACTGGAACTCCTGGCCTTCTAGGATGTTTGTAAACACCCAGAGACCATAGCCCCTTCCAGGAATAGGCCTGTGTTCTCAGTGACTGTGACAAGTGGAATTTCACTCACCACTGGAGACAATCCCCAAGGCATTGTGTTTCTGAATCCAGGGATGAAACTGCCAGCTGAATAGTATACATTCTCTAAATTATTAAAGAGCCTGAGAGCGGCTGCCACATTGGGGTCCCTGGTGCGAGTCCTCAGAGCAGCAGCTGAGTTCTTGGCGGGACAGGACCATCAAGCGCCCTACCCGTCAGCTGCTCTGTGGCCTGGAGGCCAAGGGTCGGCCCCAGGGGTGCTGGGAAAGTGTCCTTGCTCCAGGGAGTGAGCTGTCCCTTGTGACAACAGGAAAGAGCTCACTGCAGAGAGTGAGGTCTGCACTAGGCTCTGTCATCTCTGACCTCCAGTGGCAGGGCGGGTGTGGGTCTGGGTGCCAGGCTGGCCTGGGTCCGTCCTTCTGTGTGAACTTTGGTTTGATATTTATATTTTCTAGGCGTGTTTCCTCCTCATCTGTCAAATGGGGCTTAATAGAGCGGAGAAGCCCCCACTGCTACAGGGAGTCCGTCCCTCTCATTCCGTGAGGAAACCCTGAGAGTATGCAGTTCTGCGCCCTCGTTGGATGTCCCTGGAGGATCGGGATGTGAGGCATGTGAGGGCTGGTGGGGACACAGGATGCATCTGCCAAATGCTGCTGCTGTCAGGATGGCTGACCCAAATCTCTCCACCAGCCTGCCTTTCCTAGCTCCGGCTTTCTACTTCCTGTGCTCTCCTCAGGCAGGAGACACCTGCTCCTCCTGAACATGCCCCTGTGGGTGATAAAGATGCTGGAGGCTGGCCTAAATTCTGGCTTCGAGGGTACCCTCAGGCAAGTTCTTTACACAAGGCCCTCAGGCTCAAGGTTTGACAAAAGGAATGGCTGGCAGAAGGTTCTAGAAAGGTAAGACTGCACATTGTCTGTCTGGATGACAAATTTTCTGAATAGGATGGAGCGATGATGCTCACAGTGGAACATTCATCAGACTCCACAATGAGACCCAGAGACACTGTGACACATCCAGATGGAAAAGCCTTCTTGGGCGCTGCCCCCCTGGTCCACCTGCGTGGTGGAGGCTTCCCAGAGGAGGTGGCACTGGACCAGGAGCTTGATGGATGAGTGAGAGTTCAGGGGGCTTGTATGGGCAGCAAAGCCAGGGTGGAGGTTGGTCCCTCCACATCCGGTCCAGTAGCCTGAGTCCCATGTGTTGCTGGGGACACAAACCAATGTTCCAGAAAGCAGAGCCCAGTGGGGAGGCCTGCGTTGAAACTCTGGCTCGCCATGCTCTGCCCTGGGCCAGGAGCCCCCTCCAGACCTCGGTTTCCTCTTCTGTGCAATGGGGCAGCTGTGCGGGGTGCTCAGAAAGGGTGCTGGCGAGATCTGGGTGCAGCTGCCTCGGGATCCACCTCTGTTTCCCTGCCCCCACCTCTATTAACGAATCTCTCAGGATATTCGAAGGCATTAAGACCAGTCTTCTGCTGGGCACCTGTCTCCTGGAGGAGACCCAGATCTGTGGAGTCTCAAGTGAGCAGACATCTATAAAAAAATATGGTGTATCTCATGTGTGGAAGACATTGTGGGGGTTGTCATCTCCTGGAAGCAGAGCCTGAGGTGAGGATTCTTTGAAAATAGCTTCATGAGGAGCAGGAGGGGGCTGGGGAAGGTCTGAACAGGGAAATGGCTCCTTGCTGTAACTTAGCTCCAGCAGGGGAGCTTGGAGTGTGGGTTGCGGCCCACTACCAGCTCCGCCTCGGGGCAGGGGCTGGGCTGTTAGGCTCCAGGTCAGCCGCACCTGACTGCTGCCTGGCCTGGGGTGGGGCATAACCTCTGGCCAGGCAGGTTCTGCTCTGCCGAGGGCAATTTTCCAGAGATGGGGCCAGTTGTGAGCAGTTAGCAGCCAACTCTCCCAGCAGCCGGGGGATGGGCACACCTGAGAAAAGGGGTCTGGGCCGGTACCTCCAGTGTCCTCCACTGAAGTGGACAAGTCAACTAGCCTACTAGCCTATAGCTCTGCAGGTTCTTCTGCCCTTAAGGAGCCAATAGCTATTAAATATCCTGTCCTCCTGGGCCCTTGGGCATGTCTGGAGACTTACTTGCAGAAAGGCCGTAAATATAGGTGGGGATGGACTCCCAGACAATCTGTCTCTTTGCCCCTCCCCCAGCCCCTAGCATCCCTCCATCGCCCACTCAGTATCCTTCTCAGTGTCCTGGGACACTCCAGGGAGGGAAAGTCTCAGCCCATACCATTTCCTGCTTAGGAGGGAGCCCCAGGGGAGAGGCAGGGGCTTTGCTGAGGCATTGCAGAGCTGGGGGCTGGGACCCAAGTCCTCTGTCTTCCAGTTCTTTCCCCACCAGGGAGAAAGCCCATGACAGACCCCCTGTTAGAAGGAGCAGCATTTTTGGGGGGTGGGGGGTGGTGAGGGTGAGGAAAGCTCCCTTAGTGAGCAGAGGCAGGCTCCCTTCTTACTCTCTGAATAACCCAGGCCACAGTGAGACTGAGGAACAAGGGCACGGCAACCCCTGGGCCAGCTAGCAGCCTGGAGGGAGACGAAATGCCATGACTCGGCTTGGGGTGGCGGAGACCTGGGCCGATGCCTGAGAGGTTCTGAATGGTGGGGTGCCGTTCTTGCTACCAGTGTCTCAGGCTCTTGAGAAGGATGCGACTTTTGATTTAAATGGTTTCTTCCTAGATAATTCCTTCATCCATCTACAAGGAAGGAATTGTCATCCGCCCTGAGGCTTACTGTGACCTAAGCATCTCATCCTGTGAGGGCCCAGGGTCTTACTGTAGCTGGCAGCATGGACCAGTTCTCCAATTACAGACACAGGAAACCAGGCCGGCCCAGCTCTCAGACTGCACCACCTTCACGGGCTCCCTCTTGACCACGAACGCACTGAATGGAGCAATGTGCCACAAGACTGGTCTGTGCTGCTTCAGAATTGTCAAGAGGCACCCCCATTTTACAGAGAACAAAAGTACGGCTGCCAAACTTACAAAAGAAATGATGGTGCCAGAACGAATGCCTGGGGCCTGAACCGCAATCTAGAATCCCGTGTGCAGGTCCGACGGTCCCCAGTCAAGACCATACGGTCCACCTGCAGGACGCACAGGGAGGCAACTGAAATGAGAAAGCGGGCAGGCAAGTGATCGAGAGGAAGAGGGGCTTTAGTTTGGGAGGAAAAAGGCAGAGAGGGGATGAGATCCAAGGCTACGGGGTCATGAACAATGGTATCAGGCAAAGCTGGGCCTGCTCACCAAACCTCAGAACCACTTGGGAAGCCTGAGAGGCGTGAAGTGAAGTCCCGCCTCTTAACTGAACAAAACTCACTCCTGAGTGGTGGCAGGAGGCATGGACTCAGAAAATGCTTAGAGCAAGTCGTAAATGTGCCACAAAACTAGGTTGTGATGAGTCAAGAG